ACTAATCTGGTAATGGAATAACCTGAGTAAATTCATCTTGCACCAACTTGCTGCCTGTGGTGTTTGGAACTAAACTGAATGCAATGAGATTCAAAAATCTTATTTACTAACAGATGAAATATGATGCAGAGAATACCCAAGAGTCCAAAGTCTTCCCTGATGCAACCTTACTGATATTTATGTTTATCTTGCTTTTCTAACTTTATGAAAACTGAATGGATCATCTTGACCTCTCACACAAATTGGAGTGAAAGGAATTTTGTCAACTGAATTTATTCAGGGTGAAATGTAATAATGAAACCTCCTCTAGGCACTCTTATGAGGTCACAAGGTAGCATGACAATGGTCCAGAAGTTCCTTGGAACAGGAGTGTTTGGAGCATCAGCAAGTATTTTAGTAATTCTTTAATATCTGTGAGCCTGAAACCCCTTTATTACAAGAGGTTTAAGTTATGGTAGGATTTGGCCCATAATATTCATGTTATTTTGTCAGGATTCGTAAAATTATTTCTGTATAAATTATTTACAGAAGCATTAGACTTAAGCAATACAAATTTATTGTTGAAGTTGTTCTGATGAAAATGGCAGTAGGAAGTATCTATATTAAAGGACTAGACTTTGGGAGATGAGGGTCCTAGCCCTGGCTACAGGCTTTCTGTGAAAACTTTACTTTTTGAACTTTCAGTTTCTCCTACTGTGAAAAAGGAATAAATAAAAAAAATACAAAAAGCAACAATTCCCTAACTCTCTGTAGTATTATCATCCCAATTAATTACTATTTGCACACACAAAAAAACTTACCAGTGCTCTGATGGAAGTTACTATACAAGTGCAAATGATTGTTATTACCAGATTCTCACTTAATGTACATTTACCTAACTATGCTGAATTCAGTGCAACTGTTATGCAAACAGGTTGAAGTGAACCTGGGATCACTGGAGCTTAGTGTGTGAGCCTCTATAGCTTGAGCTAAAAACCAGCTAAGGTCATAGAGCAAACTCATTCTTTCTGTACACGCTCTAAGTGTCACTAGATGAGACAGTATATCACACGCAGCAAGTATGTGAGTTACATGACTACAATGATACAGCTGAGACCTGGCTTGTGCTTAAATCCATGTAAATCAAGCCATGTGCATACTTCATAATCAAAAATGCAACTAAACCAAAGAGGAAAACCAGGATTTGAATGGTCATCGTATTTTTTACACAAAATATGGGTACAGAAGATTCCTTTGTGTCTTGAAGAGATTTTTCTGTATATTTTGTTTAAACTTGTGAACTTTATCCTTTTAATACATTTAATGTTAGGGGGAAAAGTTGAGATTCAACAGTAGGTCTCCAAGCATATCAAAGGCCCTGGTTTTTGTCCAAATTAGCCAACTTTTAACTGAACTAAGTCTATGGTATCTAATGAGAAGATGTCTGTGTCAAGGGTTGCTAATCTCCAGAAATGTGCATTCCAGATAAATGCAGTATATTCCAAGCAAATTTAGAGGATGCATTAATTGTATGTTGTTAAGAGAACAGGCTTTAATGGAACAAATTGGAGAATTAACGTACTGCTCAAAGTGAGTAAGGGCAGCACATCTGAGTCCTCCCATCCTCCCCATGTTGCCACATGTAAGGCTCCATGTTTAAAGGAAAACAACAAAGCAAAACTGCAAGGCAAAACAGTGAAAATTATTGTATGCGTAATGCTGAGGAATGCACAAAATAAGCAAGCTGAAAACAAAAATAGGGAGAATTTATATTCTCTTATCTTGTCTAGTTACCATTACAAGGAATATATGTATAACAATGATAAGTGAAGAGTTTCAGAGGTGTAGCCATTAGTCTTTATCTTTAAAAATGAGTAGTCCTGTGGCACCTTAAAAACGAACAAATATATTATATATCATGAGCTTTTGTGGGTAAAACCTACTTCATCAGATGAGGTGAAGTAGAAAATACCAAATCCCAGGTATATATAACAGCAAAAGCAGTTACCTGTCAATTGTCAAAGCCAATTTCCCCAATTTTTAATATTCACATTTTCACCTCAATAGCTATGAATGGGGCACATTCAGCCCACTTAATTAGCTTAATTAACATGGGTCCTACAATTGTCAGGTAACTACTTTTGCTGTTATTTATACCTTGGATTCTGTATTTTTCACTCCAATTCATCTGATGTTTAAAGAAAATAGTTCCAATCATTTGTTTAAAGAGCTCTTCCATGGTTTAGAGCAGAAATTTGGCAGACCTAATTTGGCAGCCTACTTGTTGGCAAACATGAGTCTCATCCACTTATCCACACTGCCTTTGAGAATGATTATGAATAATCTATGTGCTGTCTGTGACTAGTATGAGTACATCTTCACTTACATGAATAAAAGGCCCAGGATACCAGATGCCTGGGCTTTGATCTGTCTGTGACTAGTATGAGTACATCTTCAGTTACATGAATAAAAGGCCGAGGATACCAGATGCCTGGGCTTTGGCTGTGCGGCAAAAATTGTGGTATAGATGTTTGGTCTCAGGCTGGAGACTAGGATCTGGGACCCTCACCCCAGCATGCAATTTTACAGTCTCAGAAGCCTGAGTTTCACAAATCTGTGTCAGTAGACCTTGCCCACAGATGTTTGCTGTGGTAGATGCACCCTGCATGAACTATCATTAAGCCACTCTTGTCCATAGGCAGAAATAGAAGCTAGGAATCTCAGCTCCCAGTATTTCACTAATATCTAGTGTTTAATCGTAAAGATGACCTAAATTTATATTAAGAAAGACTTTGAGTGTCCATTCTCAAAGGAGAGAGGCAGGGCTGGCCATTCCTGCACCCTGGGCAGCGCGCGCGATGCATGCACAGCTCTGCCCCTAGGCACACGGCACCTGCGCAGCCCCATCCCCCAGCACGCTGCGCCCCTTAGAGCTGCAATCGGGCATGTAGCGCCTGATTGCAGCTCTAAGGGGCCCCGCGCAGCCCCCAGACCCGGGTGCGCAGCACCCCTTACAGTTGCCATCAGGCACCCCCCATAGATTGGCACCCCAGGCAGCTGCCCGGCTAGCTCCCCCTTAATCTGTCCCTGGAGAGAGGGGCCATGTAAATGAAAGTCATAATAGTACACAAGTGAATCTCAGAAATTACAGGGCATTTCCTTCCTTTTGCACAAGAAAAATGTATTGTATTTGATTATGTACGTGGTCAACACATTTCTACATAACTATTTTCCTTCCTGATTGAAGAACAGAGAAATTGTAATCCAAATTCATTGGCTGTCAAGGAGAATTTAATTTTCACTTGTTACATTCACTCCATGAATTGCATGTGTAGATATTTACATAAGGCAAAAATTTCTTTGACTCATTTAATTGCCTCTTTTTCAGGGATGTTTCAGGGATGCTGCATATTCTCTCTTCATATATGAAGCAATGCATACTGTTTCATGTATGAGGCAAGGGAGTGGAATGAAACTGCTGGGCTCCATTTTAACTAATGTCCTGACCAATCAATAGTTAAATAGTGTACAGTCCTCTTCTTGAAGGGCATGTTCTTATTTGCTAATCTTGTTTGCCTTGGTTCTGGGGCTTTGTCCTCAAAATGTGCTGCATTATGTATCCCATGCATCAATATTTTCACGACTAATAAGAGCATTTATTGGATTTACCACTTTCACATTTTCTGTCACAATTTAATGCTGCTCACAAACAGCAGCCCTTCAAAATTGTTTCAGTGGGAAACTCTCTGGCTCCAGGACTATACATGTTGTTTACTTCATCCCATCTATAGAACTGGTTTTATAGCATGATTTATTCCTGGTCACTGAATGGCCCTTTCACAACAGGTTAGTAACAGATTGCAAATATAAGAAAGGAGGCCATTAGGTATCTTGAGCTACTTTCTAGCTAACAGTTTGGCAACAAAAGAATATTTTCAAAAAACATAACAGGAGACTGCATGCCCAGAACCCATATTTTTTTCTATGAATTGTTCAGGAACCACTCACACAGTTTATTCATATTTATCCCTGAGGCTGATATTATTTTTGACATAGCCGTATGACTAGTCAAACATTGTCTGCAGCCTGACTTTTTAATGCAAGAAAGATAAGCATGCCTTGAACTTTACTACACATGTCAGATTCATTATACTCACAAGCAGCGTGGGAGAGCTAATTTTATTGGCATGGAGGTTGGAAACTCCTGGTACAATTCACTTACAAATCCCATTTTTTTTCTCTATTGGCCCACCCCAAGGGAAGTTAAAAGCAGTATGTCCACTCTGTTCTTTATTTTAAAACTACCTTTTCTCTTGATCCAGCAAAAATATTTGAGGCTATTATGTATTTCTATTTTAATAACTTGCCTGCATCAATAATGTATGATGTTTTAATAAATAAGACTATCCTAACCTAATGCTGCATAAGCAAGTGAAGCTTGCCTGCCAGACAAAAATGTACTAAGCCTTGCTTATGGCGCTAAGATCTTTCTTTTTGAATCTGGATGCTACTACAATAGAGTAGCTTTCTTTTCATGGCTATGAAGCTACCCTATGCATAAAACAACACAGAACTTATTAATTTCTCTTATAGTGTCAGAACACTGAAGAAATATTTTCTTTCTTGTGGGAAAAAAGGTCAGTAGCTGCACACTCTACAAGTACTAGAGATTAGAGATGACTTCTACTTTGTCAGCAAAAATTAATGCCTGCTGCTGAGGAAAAGGTTCAAATGTTATTTTAAAGCTTTGTGCAAGTAAATGTGGCATCTGGCATTATTCTAAGAATCTTTATCATTTACCAGCTACCCATATAAGGTGCTGTGTTTTGCACTGCTTTTCCTTGCTTCAAGTTGCATATGTATTGTATTTATTTCACATCAGTAAATTATTCTTTTTCAGTTTATATTGGCTTTCAGTTTATAAACACTTCCAGGAAGGGAATACATATTGCTTTGTCAAAATATTTCTGGATCAGGAGCTTTTTTAGACAAATGAATAAACATCTGTTTTTAAACAACAGATACAGAAAAACAACTATTCAGATTTGGATCTCTTCACTCATCTAGAATAGCACTTTACTCCTATGGAACAGGGTGCTGTTCCAAAGAAAGGTGTCAGAATCTGGCCTCAAGGCATTTCAACCACAGATGCAAAGGTAATTGTGAAGAAGCAACAGTGGCAATGTTTGCACTATCTTCTTCTCTATGTATTTTAGAAATGTGCATCTGTTTGTCTGAGTCTTCCTTAAATGGTAAGAGCTAGAGCCACCACATTTGTTATGCAGCTTCCTTGTCTCCAAACTTAAAGCGAGGTTGTGCCAGGAAACCAGGAAATACCTGGAATGGGACTGTTTTTGATAACATGGAAATGGGGGAGGGTGCTTTTTGAGGGACGCAATACTGCTGGGGGCAGCAAGCGCAGGTTAGAGCTATACTGCAGAGTGACCACTGGAAGCAGCCGCACCACCAAGCAAGTGGCCAGCTGTGGCTGAGCCTCACCATCTTATCAGCTACCAGACTGGGTAAATGGCCCTTTGTCTCAAACCCCTCCTTCCCTGGCCCTTGGCTGCAGTGCCAGAGCAGAGGGCTGTGGGGGGATGGAGAAAGCCCCACTGGATGGGGGGGACTGTAGAAAAGGCCCCTACTGGGGGAGAAAAGGTATGACAGGGAGAGGAGACAAGGCTCTACCAGAGAAGAGAGGGGATGGGGAAGACAAGGCCCCTGCCAGACAGAAGGGGAGGATGGGGAGAGAAAGGCCCCTGCCAAAAAGTAGTTTATTTAACCACAAATTTAAGTGAGTGCAAGTATTGAGGCTCAAAAGTTAAACCTGGCTTCAGTAAAATAAAGATAAGTTAGGCACTAGGAAGCATTTTAACTGACTATACTTGATTCAATGTAAAATCCTTACCACATCCTTCCAACAGCAATACAGAACATAATTTTCAGGTGAGGCCCTCCCCCAAAGTCCAACAGCTGGGGGGAAGGGGAGATTTGGATAATAGGAACAATTTTCTGGCCTCAGGATCTACATTTGTAACTTTGTATTTCATTATCTTAAAGTATGTGACTTAAAACAATAGTCTTTTTCAAAGACAGCTTTAAGATATGCTTCAACAATATTTAAACGTTATCAAGAATATTGAATGAACATATGTCTGTAATAAAAAAGACTCTAGATCATTATTAGCATCATCACTATGAATTCAAACATAGCTCTACATAGGCTGAAAAGTGTTTAAACCCTGTGCTGAAAAATGATAGTGAAATAAGAAGGGGAATTAAATCATTTCATTAAGTGAATGTGGCTGCGTTGAATAACTGATACAACATTCTCATTATGGTTTCTTCAGTTTTCTGCTTCTCTGAATTCTTGAAGGCTGGAAGTCTTACAACACACGCAGAAAAATCTATTTATAAAGCTTTGGTGTCCTTGCTGATTATAGTTCCTTTATTTGAAATTGTGAGAAGATGAGCAATACCCCGTCAGGAATTGTCACTAGAATTCATCCTAATCAATGACATACATTAAAAGCGAGTATCAGTGAATTCACATACATTAAAGTGTGCTTTATTGGCATGTCATATGTAATAACTATTTTATTTCAATATTGTCTTCTTGATTTAATAAAATGATGGCCGTGTGCTATGTTGTTTTATGCTTGTGCCTTTAACTTAAACCCAAATGGAAGTTAAACGAGTTTGTAGGATTCCTCCTAATTCGTAATGTGCTGTGTGTTATGCATCTGATAGTTAAATGTAACTGTTAATCCACAACAATCACATGAGATTTCTTGAATAATTTTGGGTGTGACAGAGACAGAGTAGAGGGCTATAAAAAAGTAGTAGAGGGGTGATATATAAGCCTCAGACTGAGGAGATCCCTGCTCCCAGAGTAAATGGGAGGAGCTGGTTTAGAACCAGCAGAGGCAATAAGGGGCAGTGGGAACACCTAGGTCTAATTTACCAGGCCTGCAGAGTCAGGGCAGCCTCAGCTAATTAGGACACTGGCCAGGGTGGGGGGTAGGTAATTAAGAAAACCAATTCAGACTAGTTATAAAAGAAGCTTTGTCTACGGTTGGGGTGCACGTGTGGCTGAGAGGACAGAGGAGGGCACTGCTGGGAGTAGGAGGAACGGAGACAACAGCTGAACACTAGGGCTGTGTCTAGACTGCATCCCTTTTCCGTAAAAGGGCCCGCTTCATAAACATAAAAATGCCTGCCGCTTTTTTCCGGCTCGGAGCTTTGCCGGAAAAAAGCACCAGTCTAGACGCGGATCTTTCAGAAAATAAAGCCTTAGCCTGAGGGATAAGGGATCTTTCGGAAAAGGCTTTATTTTCCAAAAGATCCACGTCTAGACTGGCACTTTTTTCTGGCAAAGCTCCGAGCCGGAAAAAAGCGGTAGCCATTTTTATGCTAATGAAGCGGGGGCGGATTTAAATCCCCGCTTCATTTGCAATTGCGATATGTCTAATTTGCATCCCTTTTACGGAAAAGGGATGCAGTCTAGACACAGCCTAGGAGGATGAACGGGTGAGAAGGAAGGGGCTGGGGAAGGTGTTGGGAAGTAGCCCAGAGGTCTGGGAGCTGTCTTACAGCAGGTGTTGGGTACTCACACAGACAGATTCTATTACAGAGCCCTGGGCTAGAACCCAGAGTAGAGGGTGGGCCCAGGTTCTCTCCCCTGCCTCCCCCCCAACACTCAGCTCCCCATTTCCATTCGGGGAAAAGGATTATGGAGTTTATTCTCTATTTTACTATACATTGGCCACTGATGAAAAGAGCTCAACAAACAGCAAATTAAAGCCCTAGGCATGGTGCTTAAAACTCCTGTGAGCCTCTGAGGCAAACAAAATCCTCCAGGAAGTGCAGGACCCACTGAGGTTTCATAGGAGCTTTGTCACATGGGATGTATAATTAAGTTGCATTAGTTATTTGCTGACACAAGCACTTTTCCAAATGAGGATGATTTAATCAATGAACATAAAGCATGTAAGTATGTAATCCTTAAATAGCTGCCCGGAAAAAAATAAAAGTTTTTAATTTAATATCCCATTCAGGGTTCAAATTACACAGGGATCTATCTGTATATTTGTAGGGCTAGATCATGAATCAACTTGTGCAACATTTCAGGGACACGAGAGAGTAAAAGCCTCCACACCTGTGCCACAGCCTCTTTGGACTGTGAGTCCTGGTGTGTAACTATTGCACATTTGGTTACCTCCCCATACACCCAACCTCTGCCACCAAAAAAGGAAAGATGTGCTACTGGCTAAGGACAATGTACCAAATCCCATAGCACAGCTGAAGTGGGGGGTAATAATCTGACCAGTGTCCTATTACTATTCTCAGGAGCAAGGGAAAGCAGAGAAGTAATCAACCCTTTGAGGTCTATTTCCTTACCTATGCTGCTTCTGGGGCAACATCGCTGTTCGTGCCTCATTTCATGGGGCAGATTATATATGCCAGTCTAGCTCCTTATTGACTCCTTTGTATCCTCCAAAGATATTTAAAATAAAATTGAGTTAAACCAATTGAAACAGAGAATTGAAGTCCTGATAGAAATGTTGCAGAACATGAATGTCCGTTGCTGCAAGGCACTTTGCAAGCATTAACTTGTTAATTATCCATGGGAGGTGCAGCCAATAACTAGTAATATCCCAGGGGTTAGTGTCTGTGCTCATCTGAAGCTCTACAAGGAGAGGAGAACGAGGTCCTTTTTAGTTCTCCATCTTTCAGTGATTCTTCCAATCCCAAACAGCTGATGTATAGCTGAAAGTCTGAGTCTGTGTGCATTATGGATGTTAACTATAGATTTATTGAATAGTCGATTAACCTCATGAATTCTTATCGGTTAGTCGACTATTCTATAGACCTGAAGGTGGGGCTGGCAGCCAGTGTGTGCTGGACTTCACACCCAAGGAGCCCCCTGCCACTCCATGCTACTGCCTCTGATTCAGAGGCAGCAGCACAGGGTGCCAGGCGGCAGCTGATCCGCAAGGGGAACCTCGCAGACTGGCTGCCTGTAGCTCCGCGCTGCTGCCTCTGATGCAGTGGAAGCGGGGGAGGGGGGCAGTAGCCCCTGTCTAGGGGGAGTCTGAGCTCCCAGATGCAGTGTGACCTGGAACTGAGACAGGCTGCCTGCCTGCCCGGCTCCTAATACACTTTAAATGCCGAACAACAGCAGGGGTAGATCCCACACCCAGTGTGAGCCAGGACTGAGCCGGGCTGCTGGCCAACCTGCTAGAAAATTTACTGGCAAGAGGTGTGAGGGGAAATGCACGTAGTCTATGGCATTAACCTATAAGCTTTTGCTTATCGGTTAATCAGTTACACTATTACATCCCTAGTCTGCATTGTTACCTGATTGTGGGAATCTTGGCATACTGGATCTGCATATTCAGTGAAAAAAACATTTGTATTCCTGAACATGGCATTATACATTGCTGAGGCATGTAGGAAAATGTGTGTGCAATGTGTAGCTTCCAGAAGGAATAGGAATTGTTTGGGACTATCTTTCATTTCTTATTAGTTTCTTCTTGGTTTGTTTCCCAGTGTTTTGTACTTTAAACATCTTAAAGCTGCTGTTTTTTAAATGCTTCAAAGCAACAGCATAAATAGCTTCTGTTAGACTAACTCCCTCATTCCCCTGATACTTTTTAATTAAAATCATGAATGGTCTAATTATCCCATTTTTATATTTAGACCTCTGATTTCTATGGAAGATTGCTATTGAATTGTCTGAGGTGGCATAATATATCACCTTCTCAGAATCTTTCACTACTTCTACTAGATTTAGAACTTCTCCTAGGGACCAGACTCTGTAGGTCCTGGTCTAGGACCCGGTGGAGAGGGTAGGCCTGGGTTCCCCTGCCCCAACCTCACCAACCCTACATGGGGATCCACGATCCATTAGTGTTGACTCTGGCTGTTAGGCCACACTGCCCTGTGAAAAAGGGCATTGTTATTGATTTAGGCCACTGGACCATACTGACCTGAGGGAAGAGGTTACTGTTATTGACTCAGGGCCACCAGACCCTATGGCCAGGGCCACCAGACCCTATGGCCTTACGTGTATAAGCAAGAGATGAGTCATATTATCCCCCCCATCCTGCCTCCCAAAGTAGTATGCACACAAGATTGAATGCCATTGGAGGGGCCTCAGAGGTTTGACACCCATCCACTGAGGGGGACAAATATGTCACCCCATGACAGGGACCTAAAGTGGGGGGGGGAGTAAGTGCTTGGGTTAGTTTCTCATGAGTGATTTCTTTTTACATTGTGTTATATAAATAAATGTATAGGCAATGCTGTTATTCCTGCAGAGGAATCATAAGCTGCCAAACTGAAGGTGAGGGAAAGACGGGTTGCTTCTAAGGTACATCTACACTGCATACAGGCAGTCCCCGACTTACGCGGATCCGACTTACTCTGGCAAAGCCTCAGAGAAAAGCCTCAGAAGCGCGGGGAACCGCCGCTGCTGTGGCTTTCCTGCTGCCCGCGGGGGGGTGCTGGGGAGCGTCCCCAGCGCGGCGCTTACTCGAACCCTC